AAAGAGCTTCAAAACTGCAAGTATATGACTTTTTTTAAATCGCTGACTTTATGTTCCTTTGGTGTTGTTCCATCCCCCACCTAAACAATACAGGTACTACAGTTTTATTCATAAGTAGAGGAACATTCAGTAATGTTTTGATTCTTTCTTTTCTTTCTTTTTTTTTTTTTTTGGCTAGTTGAATTGCAGAAAGTGCAAATTTTTCGCTCTTGACCTTGAGCCAGTGGCGGTTCGTAATGAGCACTGTGGAACTGCAGCAACCCCTATTTCCACTTATTATAATTTTTAATATTTAATATAGTGTGCCCTTTAGTCTTTAAATTCTTTCTTTATACTTTTACAATACATAATCATTAAGCTTAATGTCAGCCCCCAGTTTGTGAAAAAGGTACTTTGGAAAAAGTTACTTTGTTTCGAACTGCGCGCTTCACAGTTCCAGCGACATAGTATTTGGCTGTTCTGTGCATGCGCACACAGAAAACAGCACGCCGAACCAGGGAGAGAGAAAGCACTGTCGCTCTTGCAGTGCCGAAATTCTGGCGTGTTATTGAGAATGTGATTTCTTTTTACTCCGCGCGTGTTGTATTCCTCCACAAAGTGGAACTTCATCATACGGACCATAGACAGAGTTCATAAAAATTTGCAACCTTGAAAAAATTGCCTTACTGAAATTCAATCAACATCAAATGCAAATCAAACTATTGCAAAAGCGACGGGAATTTTAAAATATCTAAATGATGATAATTTCTAGTTTTGGTTAGAGCTTTTTTATCAGATTATGCCTCATGTTGAAATGATATGCAACTAAATGCAATCCAGAGAAATTAGTGTGTTTAAAGTTAAATTTCAAAACTGCTATTTTATTATTTATTAAGAAACTCATTTTCAAAGACGCTGATGGCAGAAGCTAAGGAAATATGTGATTTTATGACTATGTATTGGTATAATGCACAGATATTTTTCTCTGCTAAATTGTTTAACAAGAAATGCTTCACTAGTTTTAGGAATGAACATTCTCCAGAAGAAATAGTACTGACCCCTGAAGCATGTCCAATGATTGACAAAGAAAAGCTTGAAACTGAACTAAAAGTATTCTATTGCAGGTCTGATATTCATGAACATTGCAAATTAATTGAGCTACTGAAATTTATCTTCGAAAATAATCTAGATGATGTTCTTAGTGAAATTACGAAACTGATAAAAATTCTCTTGAGAGTTCCAATGACTAACTACATCAGAGGAAGAAAGCTGCTTTTCAACATTGAAAAGAATGATAACTTTTCTAAGAAGCACCAGGAATTCGGAAAGACTAAATGCGCTGTCATTGCTTTCAATAAAAAAAATTTCCTTGGTTGTCATCCAGAGATCATGGAGAAAATTATTGATCTTTTCGTGCAAATTAAAACAAGAAGAATGGATTTCATTTTTAAATAAATAGATATGGATTGAACTGTAACAGTTTAGGTTAAAGTAATTAAGAAATGTTTGATTTTTTTCTCATAAGCTTTCATAATAAATTTTCTTTTTATACTTGTTTGTTTCCTTTTACACAATTTTAAAACAAAGATTATTTATTTTTTTTTTTTTAAACAGCACCCCCACTAAATTTAGCTACGAGCTGCCACTGCCTTGAGCCCAAATGATTGTGCAAAGTGTTTACTAATAAACAGTTTTTTTCTCTACTAAAGCAATTCTATGTTTCACATACATTCTTTTTCCCTTATTTAGGACACATAATGTCAAAATGAATATTATTACACTGAGGCCGAGATCAATTACATTTTAACATTGACAAATTTGCTTAAATGATCTGCTTTTTTAAGACATGAAAAACATGCACCTTTCTTTAATAATAACCATTTCTTTTATCACTTAAAATCATCTTTCTTACTTTAAAACATCTTCATTGGGGTGGAACTTATCGCAAAACATACAGTTGTGTACCTGTGTTATCAAGGCTTACCAATGCAGAGGCCATCGCAAGTTCAATTTCCTTTGCTTTTTCAAGAACGGAGCTTCTTTTTTTTTTTTTTTTTTTTTTTAATTAAGATGAAAATCAAACCCAGTTCCCTGCTAATGACACCATTTCTTTACCTTGAACTTCTTAACCAAGAAAATACATCAAATGTTCTTAAGTACAGGAGTTCTTGGAATTTGCGTCATTCATAATCATGATGAAGAAAGCACATTAAATGTTCTAAAGTATAGGAGTTCTTGGAATCACTTGACTCATAATTCTCCTTTCTCATGTACGCAGTACTTCTTCTGAGAGGCAGTTTTCCACTAATAGAATTAGAAAATCCTCAAATTTTTCTTCCATTTTTCTTAAGCTCTCCAAAGCTCTCGGCTGAGCTTCATATAAAGCTGCCAAATTAGCCTTGGTTTGTCCAATCATGGCATTCTTCATAACCATGCTTAATAAATCACAAACTTAAATTTGGACAAGCAAATCATCTCTTCCAAATTTTTCTTTTAATAATTTGATTCCTTTGGGTAATTCTCTCTTGTTGCCAGAAAATTTCGAATGAGACATTCAGCTTTCTATTTGGCTCCCCAGACTGCACTAGGTTTTGCATCTTATCTTCATCAGCTAGAGACTTGTCTTCGTGAATCTTCAGAAATAAGCTACAGAAGGGCACGTAATCCTTTGGATCAACTGAAAAGTTTTTCAGGTCAATTTTTGGTAATTTAATCCCCCCCCCCCATTTTTAGCTGCAGAAGCTTCTTGCAGTTGCTTTTTCAGTTTACTGCAGATTTTTAAATGCCTGTATCAGTAGGTTACAGCTTCTTCAAAATCGGCAGTGTTAAGTTTCTTATCATCTTGAGTCTTCAGTAAACTTTTAGCAGTTAAAAACTGACAACCTTCATGTCTCTGGAACTTATCAGAAATGTCATTTAAATATCAGAAATGTCATTTAAATCTATAACTTCTTTAACCAGCTCATTTTCGATGGCGTTCTCAGTCTCTGTCATTATGCTTTTAAAGCATTTAAATCCAACTCCAGGGAATAATTCAAAAATGCCCTTTCCAATAAGGGTATCACATTCTTATGTTGAGAACAAAAAGCCAAAATTTAATTCATGGGTTTGCATCTACTCGAGGCTGGGTGTTTTTTAAAGTCCATAGAAATAAAAGTCTTTGTAAAAAACATGAAATCAAGTTATTGAAGCAAATGAAACAGGTAGAACAGGCACACAAGGACAGACACAATAATCAAATTTTCTCTCACATTCCATCTAAAGACTAACTCTGATTCTCATACACTTTAGAAGCTGATATAGTTCTACTCCAGCTTCAATTCACTTCAGTTCACAAAACTTAGCTTCTCTTATTGGGCCCTATTATTGGCTGAAACACAGAATTAATGCTGGAGAAGAAGAGATACTGTAGCTTTAGGAAGTCATACTTAAACTTTACTTGTCTGTCTATGAGAAGAACAGCCTCGCCACAGTGTCTCACAGGTGGCGGTCATTATAACAGCAGGGCTAGTATATTTCAAATAAGTGCAAACCAAGGGTTGCTTTAATTTTATTTTGCTTTTGTTGACTGTTGGCTGAGGGGAAAAGAGTTATCATTCGTCTTCAAGACACCCCTATGTAAAATGGGTTAAGACTCATTTTTGTGGCAACAGACAGCTTCAGACTAACTGGCGAGAGCTTTTCGTATGATAGACTGTACTTCTTCTGCCAAGTCTTTAGATTGGTAAAGATCATCAGCATAGCTTTCAGTAACAGTATTCTTTAGAAGCTGATTGAATAACCCATCCTTTTGGTTTAATTTCAATAAGACAGACAGCAATTATTTTATGTGTAATTTTGTTATGTTTTCCCAAGATTTGAATTTAATTTGGAATAAATATTCTGGTTCATAATTTGGAATAAATATTCTGGTTCATCTAACTCATTGTGATTCTTCTGTCATATTGGAGGCTAAATTATATTGAAATTACTTTTTTTGTTTATTGTGCATCTCATTTCACTACGATTATAACTCTTTCATAAATTTTAAATTATGAATAAACAGAAGATTTGTTATTTCAAATTATCTTATATTAAGTTAATTAAAGAACATGTATTGTATTTATAATTTTCTTGCATTTTTACTTCATTTGCTGAAGGTAAGAGAAGTAAAAATGTCAAGTTGTATTATTTTCTTATGATTAAATTACATAAATATTATTATTCTTCAGGAAATCTATTTGTTCCTCAGCTTGAATTTTCTTCTTGTGCTTTGTAGTTCAATCTTGCATAGAATTGCTTTGATTTTTTAATGCCTGCACATGGTTTAGTCCTTCTCGATACAATTAAATATTCTTTGTGCTGAGTAAAACTGAACTAAATATATTTTAAAGAGGTCTATTTATAATCTAGAGAATGACAAAGAGCGTTTATAATTGTAAAAATTATTTAACAGTGTTTTATTTTTCATTATGATGATTTAAATGTGGTGTATTTTATATATTTGTGTTTATTTGTTATATCAGGCTTGCTGTTTGACATTAAAAATTGGAAATAATTCAAAGAATGTTTTTATCATAATCCCAAATGTTATTTTTTCCATGGGTACTGTAGCATGTGAAATAAAACTTGTAATTCTTACACGGTTACTTTATGATAATTTTCACTTATAAATTTCATTTGGTAGGTTTATCCCCCTGATTGTAAATTTAAAAAAATAATAGTAAAGATTTTTAAAATTCAATTAAAATGTTAGTTTTATTCACTATACAAATTACAAATGATATTGACTTGAATTTACTGTTTCATACATGATTTGTGTAGTCTTTATACATTTGATTTTTGAATTAGGTATGGTTATTCAATTGAATTAAATATTATCAAAATAAAATATGAAACTTCCATTTATAGAACTACATTGTTCACGTTATTTGCTTTTAATTTTGTTAATTAAACCTGAATTTATTTAATGTGAATTTCTCATATATTTAAATTTTGAATTTATGTTAATATTTATTTATTGGTGATTTTTTTTCTCCCAGATGTTGGATTTTTAATTGGAGGTAATAGTTCCATCCATTATATAGTGCTGCAAATTCACTATGCCAAGCCATTGCCTGGTAAATAATTTTCTAATTTTATAGATATATTTCTGAAATTGAAATAGTTGTTTAAAATTATTTATTTTAATTTTAGAGGGAACTACAGATAATAGTGGTCTGAAATTACACCTAACTTCTCAAAGGTATGCAGATTTTCCAGATTTACAAACATTTTTGTGAATAGAAAGTACACATAATTTATTGACCGTTCAGGGAAGAAAATAAACAATATGGTATTTATTGGTCTTTAAAAAAATAAATCAAGCAGTTTTATAGTATAGAAGAGGCCCAAGTAATGTTATTCTTCTAGAATGAGTTCATGTCTAAAAAAGGTGTTTTTATGAGCTAGAACCGAGCTTTTTTATGGTCTGACAGTGTATCTTCCTTAAACAAAAACTTTGGCAGATGAACTTTTAAAATAAGATTCATGAGGATCAATTTAATTGTAAAATGAAAAGCCTTTTATTATTGTTATTATTATTATCAGAATATTTAAAGATTATGCAGTTTGGTTCTAGTTAACTAGTTCTAACTGTTTCAAAAAATTATTTTTTAATATTCATGTAAATACAGGCTTCCATCTAGAGTTGTTTGTAATTTTTAGAAGATTATACTCTTAATTCAAATACATTCATTTTGTTCAAACCTATTTCTATGTAACATTTTGAAATATACTTTTATGCAGAGATTTTAAAATTTCTTTAGAAGCAGCTGAAAAGTCTGCAGAAATTATTATATTATGTGGATTTTAAAGGACAACAGAATTCTCTGTCATGTTACCAAAGGTATACAAGTACAAAGTCTGAAATCAGATCTTCAATGGCCTATGGCCTGAAAGATCTAATATCTGAGTCTCATGGTCACCAGCCAAAAAAGAAAAAAGTGTAGGAAAGGAGAATAATGATTGAAATACCTTCTTCTCAGTTTTGTTGTAAACGTGATGCCTACTGACATTAAAATGATGATCTGAAATCACGAATCGCTTAAGTCTCAACAGTTCTCAGACTTTGTACCATAAGTTCAGTAATTTTTTATTTATATTAAGAAGTGTAATCTATGAAGTTCCTTATTTAAGCTAAGAGTATTAAACTGACATTCACAGATTTAGAGTATTCCTTTTTGGAAATGATGTGAACAATGCTCAAAGTATTCTAGAAATTATTTCACAGAATTAGTAGTAGATATGCAAATTTTTGGTTATATTTCTTTCTTTCTTTTTTTTTTTTTTTGTGTGTGTGTGGTGTGTGTGTGTGGTGTGTGTGTGTGTGTGTGTGTGTGTGTGTGTGTGTGTGTGTGTGTTTCAAATCAATTTCAATCCATTTTAGCAACAAGAAGTAGTTGAAAGACAATTCCAGTACATGTAGGTGATGATGCAATGCTACAATCGTTTTTTCCGTGAAAATCGTTAATCTTTTCTATTTATTAATGTACAACTTTCCTTCAAAACTATTCATGTATGACTCTTTGGCAATAAAAAAAATAATTAATCAGTGTTTCTTAATTCTTGATTTTTAGAAATATTGGTAAAACATATTTGTGAACATCAAGATTATTTCTTTATTATAAGCCTTTTGGACTGTTCTGTTTGGTTAACCAGTTGACAAATGGGCATTGTTGTAAAGTTTTTTGCCAATGCATTGTTTTTTTCATCACATTTATCTCAAAGCAGGAGAAAGAAGTACACAAGCAGATAACAAATTACACAAAGATGCTTATTTGACAATAATGGAAACCATACTTTTGCAACTCAGTACCATCTCTGAAGAAGATATTTTTGTGTAGTTTCATTTCATTTAGGAATATGATTTTACTATCAGGCAATGCAAATTCAATTCTAAAATTATATATATCCATGCATAGTATAAGAAAATTATCCTATGTATTTCCTTAATGGTTAATTTATTTATATATTTTTAAGGTTTAATAAAAAGAAATTTATTCCTTTTCAATTTTACACTAAGTTTACTGACACAAGAAAAAATAGCTATAAAATTACACTATTTTGAGTCTTAAAAGTTTGTCAGAAGATACAGATCAAACAAACACATTGTGATATGCTTTCATTGTCAGAGCATAATCAAGGTCACCTGACCTACAATTGCAAACTTTCTAAAGACAGAAAGCCTACTTTTGTCAGATATAAAAAGGACCATGTAGCTTCAGCCAAGATTTTGTGAATATTATTTTTAAATTCAGTGCATTAATCTTGCACTTACTATAACCCATAAATCACTCAACTCAACTTTTTCTTATGAAATTCTTGTCATCCACCATACATTTAACTTGACTTCACAGAATTCTCAACTGTTGCAAGAATAACATGTTCCAGGTTGCTGAGTTTGCTTTATGCCAGGAATATCTTGCAAATGGCACAGTATTTTACCAGTTCAGTTAAAGTAATGCCTTTAACCACTGCGCTACAACTAAACTTCACGGTTGCGGTGCCATGCGCTACAGTATGAAAAGGCGGTAAAGTGCCTCATTTATGCCGCTCCACGTCTGTGAGTGCAATCCAGAGCTGTAACTCAAGAAATAAACAATATTGTTGTTAGGCGACATGTGCATTATGTTATTTTCATTTTTGCGATAAATGCCTATCGGCGTGGTGTTCACGTCGCTCGCGATTTGAGACAAAAGCATAGCGCAAGTGGTTAAGGGTAAATGCTCATAAAATTTACTTAACTAGTGATTTTTAAAGGGAGACAGGCCTTTTAAGTGAAAAAAGGGGACTGTAAAAATATTATAATCTTGAAAGAAAACTGTAAATCATCCTGAGTTTGTAGGGATATACATTTGGATTAGTGGTGCCATGTATGCACCCAGTTAAAACTTCTAAAATTTATTTCATTTAACATTTTTACAATCAGTAATGCTAATTTTAATGTCTCTACTGGAGATTCTATCTTCTTCAACAAACTCCAAAAATTTGCTAATCAAATTTGTAAAAACTTCATCCTGAAAATTTCAAACTCTGGTTGTTTTGCAGCATCTGTCTGTGCATGCTCAGTTAGGAAGTTGTCTTTGGATGTTTTCCTCTGGTATGGAGCATTTCTGAGTAGAAAAATTTTCTTTTCACTTAGAGACTTAATGTCAGGATTCTGCAAATGAATTTTAGAATAGATTAATATCAAATTAACAAAATCTTGACTGAAGCTACGTGATCCTTTTTACATTGGACACAAATAGGCATTTTGTCTTTAGAAAATATGCAATTGTAAGTCGGATGACCTTGGAGTGTTGCTGTAGAAAATTTGGCAATGTCCAAAGCTCTGACAATGAAAGCACATGTCAATGCACACATCAATTCTGATGTGTTTTGTATGTATCTTCTGATAGAAACTTTTAACATTCAAAATAGTCAAAACTTTATAGTTTTTTTTTTTTTTTTTTTTTTTTTTTTTTTTTTTTTTTTTTTTTTGTGTGTGTGTGTGTGTGTGTGTGTGTATACAGAAAGCATCATAACAGTTCCATGTGAATTCCTAGAAAATTGCTTGATTTTATTCACAGGAGATCCTGCAGTCCAGAGTTCTGTCTTAATATCATCAAGACTGGTGTCAGTGGTTAAACCACATATTACCACTTTTATTGGAGTTTCAGCTTCAGTCCTGAAGGTATTGAATTGAACATAATTTTTCATTGAATGTGCAGGTATTTGCAAATGTTCAGCAGTTCATCCAAAGAAAAGAGAAATCTTATTTTTCATCGGTGCACAAGTATAGTCATTTATTATATTTTGGGAAAATAAACTTCACAGGTCTTTCCAAGTGAGGTCTTGGAACAGACTATAAGAAGCATTTTCTTAAGGTAGTGATTTGTCGTGGCATCTAGAGTGGCTTATATACTTTTGCCATCGCTGTTATATGTCTCATCTTGGCAGTGCATTTTCTCATCTTGAGTTTTATTAGCTGCTATTGCATCAAAACTATTTAGAGTAGATGTCATGGAAATTTCCCCAGAGAGAGGAGTCAAAAGTGGCTATTTTTCCAAGAGGGACCCAGTTCTGGTTATTATTTGTTTCTGTCTAAGTGGCCTCAAGAGCATCTTGGTTGTAATAGTCACTTCAGAAGGCTTCTGTATTTTCTTTCTCTTTTCTCGAATTTGGAAGAAAAAACATCATTAATTCTTTCCTCATGTAGCTTGGCTGTAGAAGGATCATACAGCATTTTAATGGAAAAATTATGTGCTTCCATCAGCTTAATGAAGTCGGATCTCATTTTCTTCAGTCTAGCTTTGAATGGCGTACCAGAATGTAATTTATGTTGCAATTCTTCAGTTTCCTTAAGCATAGAAAATAGCAATCCATGTTACAAGCAGGGAAGTTGCAAAAATAACAATCTTTGCAGATGAAAGTTCTGTTCAATCATTCAAAGCAACATGTGGTCATATTTTCATTCAAGTTTTAATTTTCCTTTCAAATTAGTTGTTTTGAATTACTGTATATTCTGGCTTATAATGGGCACTGATGTAAAATGTGCAGCTATAATTTCAAACTACACTTTGCAGTTTTTAGGTATATTCTCTGTATAATGCACACCCTTTTCTTTACGAAAAAATCTGAAAGATGCATGTGCGATGATTGTAGCTTTTGGTCATTCAAAGATTTTTCCCAAGCTTTTGAACAATAGTATATTGAATTGACAAAGTGATGAGGAGAACAATATATATGTGGAGGAAATAATTCTGCGAAGAGGTTGCATTTTATTCAGTGCAGGTGTGTACAAGAATGTTATTCTAATGTTTCAAGAAAAGGGGCATATTATTTGAGGTAAGAATGCACTTTCAACCCAAATAAATTTATGGAATCAACAGTTAGATTTTTTTTCTCTTTCTGTAGTCATATGAAGTCATGATGTGGAAGTGAACATCGATAGCGAGGAAGGAAAAGGAAGCTAAATCCATCTTAAAGCATAGACATAATGTGCAAGTAGATGATAAAAACATGGAATGAAATTAAACCCGATATATAAAATTGTATACTGTGGAACAGTAGCCAGAAAATGAAAAGATATTATTTAATTTCAAATGGAATTACCAAAATTACATAAGCACTTATCCCACTCTTCCACCAAGCAGTGAATACCTCATTCGTAGGAAGAGTATACCAATGATTGAAACAGTTTCAAACTGTATCCATGACCTCACT